ACTAATTAAGGCAAGAAACGACAATAAATTTTGAAACGACAAAAATGGAAACAATAACACTTTGAGAAAGGGCAAGGTGTAAACTAAAACGATCAGATCTACTACGAACGACAAGAAGAAACTTAAAACAATGGATTTTCAGATCCGAATTTGATACATTTGATGAAGCTTAACGATCGAGGAGTGAGAAATACCAGGCAGTGAAGCTGAAGAAACTACCTAACTGAATCAGCCAAAAAGGAAGAAGAAGAAGATCTTGGTTGGATTGTGATTCTGTAAAAGCAGTCGCAGCCGTCGTCTTCATCCTTCATTACCGAACCCTGAGCCTGAGCTTATAGTATGTGCGTGTCTCTGATATTTGTAGTCAGGGTTTGAGAGGGAATCATTCTTTTAATCGTAGCCGTCCAAAGCGTTATCTGGACCCCACTTCTCTATCCAGGTCACTGTACTTTTCTGTTTTTTCTTCTTTTTTTTTTCACCTGAAAAAGGCACGTCTGCCCTTTTTTTCCCCTGAGACCTGTTGTTTGTCCTTTTGTGTTTATTGCAATTCATTGAAGATTTTCCAATCTTTCCAGACTCCATATGAGAAACAGCCAAAGCCCATGAGACAAAACAGAAAATTTCATTCCACAAATGAACAGAGAGAAAGGAGACCAAACCCGGATGCTTAAATTTTGCAGGAAATCAGCACAATGGTTTCTTTTTTCTTTCTTTTTTTTTGTTGATACTAACACAATGGTTTTCATTTCACAATCCAAACAAAAAAACAAAAAAGCCTCAAGTTTGCACCACCAATGCTTACAATATATATATATATATATATATATTTGCTCCTTAATATATATATATATATATATATTTGCTCCTTAATATATATATATATATATATTTGCTCCTTTTGAAGAGCACCACCAATGGTCCAATACTTTCCAAGTTTCTCAGCCTCATCTAGAGCATCTTTAATTTCCCAAAGAAGGAAAAGAAAGAATTTAAGTATGTTAGAATAAAAAAGAGCTGGAAAAACATATGCTCTTATGCAATATAATTTGAAGAATATAACCAAGGAGGGCATGGCATTGAGGTCAACATAAGACACTTGACCACATCCTTTAACGGTTCAAGAGGTGAGTACTCGAAACAGATGTTAAATGAAGAGTTCATCCATATTTCCCTTTCCTTTCCGTTTAGAAGTTAATGTCAAAAGATGTTTAATAAAAGCGGTGTTTTCCTCGTGTCACGACCAACCAGTTTTACCAAAACAAAGGTGTATAGTATAATAACTGCCATCAGAAAGCATGTACACAAAAGGACGTTAAAAACACAGTAGGTACACGCCATTTTCATATCACTGTTTTCATTTACTAACCTAATAGGAAGTCAGAAATGAAAACTAGAGCCCATTTGACAATTCGAATCGCAACTCAAACTTTTTAATATAGTGTTTTATCTTTTTAAAGTTCAAATTCAATTTTTTTTGCTACAATATTTTTTATCACATAAATTCATTTTCAACTCAAATATGTGAAACGAAGGGCCTAAAGTGAGGTAGGTTAATATTCCGACCAAAACAGTACGTCCTTTCAAGTAGGATACTGTAACGAAGGTTCTACACCCTGGAAAGAAAAGCATGAATAAGGGAGGTTACGGTACATTTTCAGGAACTTTCTGTAGAGAGTTAAAAACATGGTCCTACTAGCTCGAGTCATGAGCAAAAGGGCCAAAATCCACCTTCTATAAGGTAAACAGAATCACTTATTCAAGTTACTTGGAAGGAAATTTTTTTGGAGTTGGCTTTATCACAAACACAATTTCTATATAATTTTTTTTTCCTCTCAAGAGTTGTGGTCCATTTGTCTTTTTGGCAATAACTCGTAGAAGCAGACCACCAATATGGGTTGGTTCAGAAGACGACTAACCTGGAAGTCCGGATGTTAGACCAGAGAAGCAGAAGACCGCATTTGAAAGCTGAAATCCAGCTCCCTGATTGACTGCAGAAAGCTCAGTGGAGTCAGTCTCTCCTCTCCAGGCCTTTACTACTTTCCAACAATAATTTACTCACTTGACTTCCAAAGGGAAAACTGAAACTACCCTTTAGTAACTCCTAGAGATTCCTTTTAGGAAAGAAAATTCCTAATTCCTTACAAACAGAGATAATAAACAAGGCACTAGTGAGTAGAGAACTAGAGGTTAGAACTAGAGCTGGAAAGCAAGCGAACCCAGAAGGCGTTTCATGGAGCTCTCCACCTCCACTACACAACAACAGAGACAAATCAAAGTTCAGACATCAAAACAAGCTTTCAAGGAGAAGAGAGCAAGGTTGTACATTATCAGACGTTGCATTTTCATGCTGCTGTGTTGGAAGGAGCATGTAGATTGATGATTG